AAAGAAATAGTTCGTTTCGGAGAACAATTTTTTCTCCGTCTTCAGGCAAGAATGTACATGTTTTGAGGTACCTATTGGGTAAAAAACGTCTTCATTACTGGGCCACATAACAAGCACATTCTTTCTTGAATAAGAAACAGATTCAGTCCCTGAAACATAGTAAATTTTATAATTCTAATGTTTTAATTTGTAAATAACTGATAATAGATAACACCTTACCAATATATCATAATAAAGTATACGTATGATTTTCAGGGCAAAAGGTGAATATTTGCCGAAACGGAATTAACCAATTAGCATGCGTTGTGTTTTCTTTGAGGTAAGTACTGAATTTATGAATATTATTTAATGAAATGTGCATTTTAAATCTTCCAAGTTGCCACTGCAAGCCTCTCATGCAGCCTTCCCGATTTAAATTCATCAAGATCCCACCCCCTCCAGCCAAAACCGCTAAATTACGTACTAAACTTCCAAATTAATAACTTCAGCATTTTCTAATATACAGATCAAAATTCCGTCGTTTCTACACTTTAAATGGGGATAGAAGAATGGTAAACGATTCATTAACATGTACAATAATTAATATACTAAATCCGCCACGATTACAAACAATAAATAATGTAAAATATTCTCACAACCGAACATTACATATTTGACAAAACCGAACAGTTTAGGTTAGCGATAACGATCTTTAATTTCTTCAATGGGTTCATCCTTTGAATCTAGTCAGTGCTACCACATACCCCAACCGACATTTTAACGGCCTCTCCATGGAAATGCATGTGTACTACCTTCTTAATCCATATTCACCCTTCACTTAAAATCATCTAATCCTTTTCCAAACAAAATGCAATTGAAACACAGTCGTTAAATATTACACTAATCTGTCATCTATGTGAATACGTGAGCGTAAATCCGTTTCCAGTTTTGAGATGGTTTGAAGCAAATTGTAACTCGCAGAATTACACACACTGTGATGAGCTGAGACTAGAGACTTGATTTGGGAAAAGCGAAAAGTAGAAACCACATGTCAGAGTTACTGCCTGCAGGCAGAAGAACTTTTGTAACAAGAAGCGAGCTGGGAGTCACTGTCATGCCACTCAAGGTCACCTCAACCTCCTACATTTTAATTTCCTACAACCTGTAATAACATGGAAATGCGAATTTATGAAGAGAGAGCGACACTAGCGACACTTTATACAGGTTCCTTGAAGAGACGTAATTTTAGAAATCGAGTCATTTGAACGACTGCAAATTCTATTATCGCATGATTAATATTAAGTGGCAAAATGAATTATAAATCTTATTGGACTGAAGATAAGGTAATCATGTAGCATTGTGGGTTATCACCCCGACATTTTTTGAGAAAACACGTCGAACCGAAACACGACTGTAAAGGCTATCATACCGTTTTGTGTTCATGACCTCTTATCTACGTAGATTACATTGTATAAGATCGAATAATTGTCATAGTTATTTCCGGTTGCCTAGAATTTCTGAATAAAACCTCGAAAATCCTTATTATTTATAGTCTCGTCCTACATTTATATCCGAATACTGGACGCCCATAACAAGAAATGACACAATGAAAAGCTAAATAAACTCGGTAGCTACTAAAATATGGTCTAGAAATAAATTAATTTACAAGTTTTGAAATTGATAAACTGTTTTGTATAAAATAAAGACGTAAGAATTTAGTAATGGATACGATTTCATATAAACATAACTATTAACGATGTAAAGATCTCATTTTGATGTAGTAAACTACCCGGCGAGGCGTGCCTGCTTCTTGTAGGACGCGGCTAAGTGCCTTAGGAAGACACGCCATCCGTCAGGATTTCAAGCCAGATCCTGTGAAGAAACGATTATTCCAAAAACGACTAGGCCCTCTCGCTGTGATCTACGGAACAAAATGCTTATCATGTGTCAAAATTCCACTTGTTTCATACCACTTCTTTCGTCTATACTGATACAGAAATATAAATTACGCTGAAGTACAATATATTTCTACTACCACTGAAAGCATTCTCTGACGTAGACGTTACACCAACATTGTCAACGGTGAAGGATCTTCAATGAATGCTAATAGACTATTTGTTCAGGTAGTGAATACATTTCTAGCTCAAATGAATCTGAAAAAAAAACATTATAAACCCCGCAATTTATGCTTATAATGAGTAGGTTTGTCCAGCTCCAACTATAAATTATTCTAATATTATCCTTCCATCTAAAGAATCTGTTCTTCAAAACCTTTATTGACTAACGAAAAATATTTGTTTTATGTTTATCTATACGATCTATATTTCAAGATTATCTCATCCATTTATAAAACCCACGCAACGTTGAAATTCACGGGCACAGACAACGCAACCACGGCTTACCGTAGACCAACAACGGAAACCTCAACTCAGGCCAGTGGACATAAGCTAAGTAACTCAATTTAGATAATACACCAACGTCCAGTGTGGTATTGCATGAAATATGGTTTTATAAAGTGCGACCTTTATGATTTATAACAAACCATCGTCTTATAAATTGCATGATTTAATAGACAGACTAATGAATTAATGTTTTTGCCAATGACGGTGACCTCTTGAGATCGAAACGCTTTTGGCACCAAGTGTTTTTTCAAGGTGTAAACAATTTTGTTTGTATTTTATATATTTTAGATAAATATCCGCATTGGCCGCGCGGTCTGAGGCGCGGGCCTTGTTCCGCTTGGTCGCTGGGACCGTGGGTTCGAATCCCGCTCAAGCCATGGATGTTTGTGCTGTCCTGTGTAGAGGTAGAGGCCTTGCGACGGGCCGATCCCTCGTCCAAGGAGTCCTACCAAAATGTCTATAGATCAAGCCAACGAAAAGTTTGGACCCGCAGTGCTCAGGCACTTGAAGAACGGGTCGTTCCCAGTATCCCAGATAAATATTCAACACTGCACGGTATGCAAAGTTTTAATTTCATACATTTAAACTTATCACCGTGACAACGTTGGTTGAAAAGCAAACATTCTCTAAATAATTAGATGGACATCAAATTGAAACATGTTAGATTCGAGGTTTTCACGGCAGTGAACTTGTTCATGTTGGTCTTTTGGGTTCTAACGTCGTGTGGACTTGCAAGCAGATACCACTGTTTCTTCAGTTTACCATCGACAACCCTGAAGATGGAGATAGTATGTTTCTCCGAAATTTTTAAATCTAACTGCATATCCGAGCAGTGTTTGAACCCAGAAGGCCAACATGGAAAGAAATGAAGACTGGCATCGCACAAATCTAAAAGTGATCAAAGTTATCTGAGACTCTAATTTCAAATGAATAACCTGAATCTTAAAATAACATCTGAAAGTAATTTAAAAACGGATGGATCTAGCATTTAGTAGAACGAAAAAAGACACGTGGCCGAGAATAGCGTGAATTTATACAAATAGGAGCGGACAACAAAAAGAAAGCTAGGGAGGTGTTGCCCAGATATGCAGAGGCAGAATGTCTGGGTCCATTGCTAATCATGCAGCTAAAATTTCAGAACACCCATAACACAGAATATTTAAAACAAAATTTTTACAAATAATCACGTGTCCAAGAGTGCAATATTGGTCTAGGGACCACAGAGTTTATTTGGCCTATGACATATTTTAAAAATTTCAATTTTTTCCCCTTTACTGTACATTTAGCAATAACAGTGAGAAGAATATTAACGTTAAATATAAACACGCTTGCAGTAAATATTCTGAAGCAACAAATTCAATGATCGTTTCCAATATTAAGTCACTATTCGGCCGACAGAGGAGCTCAATTAATATCACATACTGTGTGCTGGTTTCATTGGAATTAATGCACTTTACGTATTTTGGATCTGATGGTGTGTTCCATATAGTAAACCCAATAGCACATACCAGCCATTCAAAAAGCAGATAACACGAAGATACGGTATAACCAATGTCAATACATACATCCAATGTTAGAACTGCGTCTATCATCAAGAATACTTCTTAATACCATATTTACTCCGTATTAAAACAACGTATTCGATGTATCGATGGTAATAATGTGTGGACACAAAGTTTAAATAAAAAACAAAACAAATGCGTTTCTGTTACTTAAATATATGTTATATATGTTTCGTATGTCCTGCATTTTCTGAAATAAATATAATCTGTAATGTCCAGCGGAATGATGATTGTAAACCATGAATTATGAAAACGTTAAAGGAAGCGATCTTGGCTTATTTTGAAGTAATGTAAGAGAATTGTATCGCAGATATTTATGAAATCTTTGTAGAAACTTAGTTAAGACACCCAATATCATTACTCGGTTCGAACCTAAGACTTCACTTCAAAAAAACTTGAAAACTGACGATTGTAGTCACTGGATGTTAAGCTGCTTACAAACATAAATGCCTGAAACGGTTTCCTGAGTACATAAGAGATCAAATATTTCTCAATCGTACACGGCGGTTGAATGGTTAGCATTTCAGAAGTTCCTTGCTTCGAATTTTAGATCTGAGGTCGGCTATTTTGACTGACGTGGTTTTCTTCAATTCTTTCGAGTGAATGATTCAATAGCGCTTTGAATCAGGAAATAACAGCGGATTGTTCTTAATTAACCATTATTTCCGATCTAACTTGACACTGTATAACATCAAGAATTGGATAAACGTAATTAAACATTCTCGTGACCTAATTTTGTACACAAAACATGTGTATCGTAGAATACAATGAACAAATTTTTTGGTGTTCAGTTCAAACAAATTCTTAAATATTCCAGCAGTTAGAAGGTGTCGATCATATTTTATAACCAAACCAAATAAAGAAAAATATCATTACTAGATGTGAACCCTAATAAAAATAGATTTCTCATTAACAAAGACAATGAAATGACTCATTAGTAATGGGAAACTTAAAGTTTTCCTAAGGATTCTGTTTGTTGGAAGAAAATTAACCTCATTTGCACTGTACTCACTCAACGGCTTACAAGAAGATCAGCAGTTTCGTTGGAGCTACGAACCGCAGACATGTCCCGCGAAGACTGGCTTCTGATCACGTGGTCCCTGTAGTCACGTGGAAAAGGCGACTCAGAGGAAGGACGTCGCGGCGCCGAGATCTGGCGTCTACTGAAGGCGTCGTCGTCCAGATGCAGCGCAGACACGACGCGGGAGGAGGGGCCTGGCCGCGCCGGTCCGACACCAGGGGGCGTGGACATCCGAGGAGGAGGTCCTGAAGTCGAATCCTGCAAAGGCATGCGTGTTCCTTTAATTCTGACCGGGAATAGAATACAGGTGTGCCCATGAATAGAACCTCGTAACAGGTGTTATTCTTGCAAGAGGTCCTGATATGGGGTTCTTTTATTGTAAGCTTCATCGTTGGTAACTCTGAGACGAGATAAAACGTGGTACAGTTTTTTTATGTCGGTCGTCCAAAACACGAAATTCCAAAGGAGAGATGCTGAGACAGAAACTTGAAACATCCTAGAATATTCTGGCAAGCAAAATATATTTTATCTATGAGGCAATACTTGGCAGATTTCTTTGATGCAGTGTAAACTTAGAAACACATTAAATGAAGCAATTACATTTTGCAGTCACATTAGATTTGAATTTGTTTATCTGACGTTGAATATGAATGATTGCAGTTCAATTCAAATCAAAATTTTTAAGCTACAATGTATAAATTAAACCGTCCTTGCTTAATTTGAGAATGTAAATTGGTATGTTACTGTCGTTCTGAAATAGTTGAGGTTCTCCACATTTTCGGAGCACTGGTTATGTAGGGTCTACGAATCTGCAGGGAATATTATTATTTTTACATTCTAGAGACGGGTCATAATCTTCATACAGCGCCTCCAACTTCCGACCCGCGGGCCACATTCAGCATGAGACCACTGGTAACTAGACCCGCTAAATTATATATTGATTTGTCAGTAAGTATTGTTAACTGATTTACTTTCTTTACTTAGTAGGGTTTAAAAAAACGTGATTCTATTATCGTCTGCTGCTTCACGAACAGGTGGCACACATGCTGTTTGCCTTAAAACCCTACAGCAAGACGTAAGATTTCCACGTAAAAGTATGTCAGATACAAATTATTGCAGGTTAAAATTTAAAATAATATATAACTCTATAGTAATTTGTGAACATTTTAATATAATGTACACAGGTTGATTCAAAATATTAGGGCCAAACTGAAGGAGCGTATAGAGGGACTCAGAGAGGACAAATTTCGAATAGGTATCCAAGTCCTCCGAAGTTTTCCTGAGTCAGTCGAGGCCATTGAGGATAGGAAAGTCAGATAACATACCGCTGAGATAATCGTACTTTGCTATTCTCCTACTAGCTTAATTTTGTTTTTTATTAATGTACAAGGATTACATTAGCAATCTTACAAACCAGGAGCTTCTGCGCTCACAAATAATCAACACGAGACTACAAAAACAGCAATAAACCAGTCACTATCAACTCACAAACACAATGTAAACAGCCCAGGGGCCTCTGTAGAATCTGACGGGATACGTGTGATTCAAAATTAAGCTAGTAGGAGGATAGCAAAGTACGATTATCTCAGCGGTATGTTATCTGACTTCCCTGCCTTCAATAGCCTCGACTGACTCAGGATAACTTCGGAGGACATGAATTCCTATTCGAAAGTTGTTCTCTCTGAGTCCCTCCTTCAGTTTGGCCCTAACCTTTTGAATCAAACTGTATTTGAGCTCGTACTACAGTCATTTGTCATTTCTGAATAAAAATTGTTAAAGACAAGGAAAGTTGACAATTAGATTAAAAAATAGTACCAGGAAGTTTTTCTGAGATCTTGGGTCCAATAGGAAAACAGTTCTTGGGCTAAGGGGGGGAAAATGCTGGACCATCCTGATGTGATACATTTCTCCATAGATCCTCTATAAACACTTGTAGACATAGTAATAAGTCGAAACAGATAGAACTATTCCAAATAACAAACCAAATATTATAATCCGAGACAAAAATGGAACTTGACTATTAATTGATATAGCAATACGAAGAAGGAAGCGGAGAAGATCTTGAAATACAGCAAATGTGGAAAGTAAAAGCAAAATTAATCGCAATAAACATGGGAGCAACTGGAACTGTTTCCAAGTCACTCAAAATATATTTGGCCAACAGCCCGATCGAACACTATACCAGGAAACTTCAGAAAACTACCATTTTAGGATCTTCGTACATCATTCGAAAGACGCTGTCGTAAAATATATAGTTAGCCCTCACAATTAAACTATATAATACATGTAACACGTATTAAAAAACAAAATGTATTTCGGAAATACCTGCTGCAGTATGTACCTCAGAGGCAAGGTTTTCCTTAGGTACATAGAAGTAAAATGGTGAATAGATGGAATAATATCAATAAATATTTGGCCAACATCCTGGGAGAACACGACATGAGGGAACTTCAGTAAAACCGCCATTCTAGGAACATCACACATCATTCGAAAGACGCCCATGTAAAATATAGCCTCATGCAAAATCTGTTTAATGCATGTAACACGTATGAACAAACAAAATGTATTTCAGAAATAGCTGTTGCATTATGTACCTCAGGGCAAAGGTTTGCCTTACGTACATAGAAGTAGCCTGTAAAATGGCGAACAGATTTAATAATAATAATAACAACAAAGGAACTATAACCATATTAGTATTAGTTACTTTAGTTGTAAGATTTGTACACCGAAAGCGATAAATTCAGACGTGGTCCGTGATCTCTTAATTCAGGGACGGGCAGGTTCCACAGCCATTTCGGAAGTCTTGGAGCCGGATCTTCGAGGAATCGAAGCAGTGACACCTGTCAGTCGGAGCAGACCTCAAGACGAAGACGCGTGACCGAGTCCCGACAATATTTGGATAAGCAAATGAGTTTGCCCTGCTAATTGCTACTCCTATTTTATATCGCACAGATGGCGCGATGAACGTGCGAGCAGAAAGGGACTTAAGGACTTCGTCACTGACAAAGATCGCTTGTTTAGGCATCACGTGGCGAACGAATAAATGAATTGGCTAGGGACTGGAAGGCTGTGGTTCGGTTATGACCAGATGCGGGCAGGAATTCTTCTACCACTGCATCTACTCTGGCTCTGGAGCCTCCCCCCCCCCCTTTTCCTACCTAATGGGAACCAGGGGACAAAGCAGCCAGTGCACGGATCTGACCTTGAGTTACATTTATGTCGTGGCTGGACTTCTGGGATGTAACGCCTTGTGGACTTGTAGGTAGATAGAGACAGTATGTTCCTCCTGAACATCTACCCACAAGTTTACATGGCCTTTCAACACAAAATCTTTACCATCGTCAATATTTAAAATTCACCTTTATTGAATACAGGTATTAAGCGTGTGCAAATCCACACGGAACACGCGGAGTGCAGGGAACAGATTTGTTTGTCTGCGAATTGCAATAGCAGCAGCAAATAAGAACATCCCGGCAAGGAAGGGAAAGCAAACAAAAAAGGAATGAGACAGAAATTCACGAACTAACAACGACAATAACAATAATAACATAAAAGTAAAACTGGTTTATTTATATGAAGACAAATGCTGGAAGTGTTGGCGTTCGTCTGCAAGGACCCCAACGCAACCTGTGACACTGTCGCACTGCCGTGTCCTGATTGACGCAGTCTGCAACAAATATTTGTCTCACGCCCTCAGGCGATAAAATAATAACCAAGATGTGATGTGATGACGTCATCACTTCTCCAGCAAGCCGGTAAAATCGCTTCCTGCAAGTGATGGCATTGCTTTGGGAATACATACAAGAATGTGACAATTATTGTGCACTCATGCAAATAGTTTCCTTGTCACCAACAAAGACATCAGATTTAATATTCTCCCCACAGTTATATTTAAATTCCTATTTCCTTCCTCTATAATAAAATGTAACAGACAAAGCTGGAAATATAATTTTCTTTCCAATGCACTTGTTCTTAAAAAACGCTGTTTATAATTTTGTTTACCTCACTGCTAATTACATTAATTTATCACGAACATAAATCTGTTGTACCACAGGTAATCAAACAAAACAGTAAAATACAATTTGTTATATCAAATTAAACATTCATCAAACAAATAATATCTGCAGACAAACGTTATAAATCATATATATAAAATCATCATTTTTTGTGGCATGTAAACATAGTTACATAGTTAAGACAAGATATATCTCTCAAAAAAATTACAGATGATTTCTTGATGCGTGAAAAGTAATTAAATAGACTGTGCACTTTTAGTGTAAACCAGAAATTACAAATTTATAAAAATTCGTAAATTACTGCTGATGGTGGGACACGAAAACTAACATGATCTCACAGTCCTGTATTCAGTTCATTCTGTATCTACAAACATAAAATACGTCACTCTGACGGATAAAAGATAAATGTCTTCTCTAACAAGAAATAGATCATATATGATTTTAATTACGTTAAAATTGCATTCGTGAACACAATAATACATTACAAGATAGGTAAATTATCCCAGCGTTGATACAAATGCATTGTATTCAGTCAGTACCAGGTTCGAATCTTGTTTACTGCACGTGACTTGAGGGCCAATTTATGGAGTAAATTAAGGGCGAATTCTACTACACATAATGACAAATACGGAATAAAATAATGTGTCTGAGGAAATACCTGGTTAGTTCATTGAAACGACCATCTTTTCTTCCTGTGTCCGTTCCTGTTCACCTTACGTAGTAAACATTTCGCCATTTCATTTGGATTTACATTATCGCTGCGGTGTTACTTATTAGTAAATAAAGTATTTCGAAATATTCTTAAGAATTACAGAACAGTCAAACGTGCTCATTTTGCTGTCTTCAGGATATTTTCAGAGAGCATGAAAATATATTGGGGCAGAGAGACTGTTGGGAGTTGCAACGACTTCAGTGATAAGTTGCGGAACGCAGCTGCCACCTCCCGGCAAGAGCTACAAGATTTTTCCAACACGAGTCAAGAAACTCTTCATAAAACAATAAAATTAACTTTCCCATATTATAAGAGGCGATACGATTTAAGTAGTTTGAAATTTACAGCTTTGTCGTTTTAACTGCTGATGATTTCGGGATGACAGTCTCTTGAATAAGGCGTCTCAGTGATTTTTGTGGTAACCTAGCCCCTATTTCGTCTATTGAATTCAGTGAAAACGTGGTGTATTTTAGCAGCGTATTCTTGTCCAGAAGTAACCCAATAGACGCGAATTTCTTAATATTTTAAGG